AATAAAGTGACAAAACATGTGTAAGATTCTATATAAAGGTATTAATAAACTCTTATATTGTGATAAACTATATTAATCTTGTTTACTTCCCCTGTACTTTGTTTTATTAGTAAAATACCTACTAGATCTAAAATACATAGAAACAATTTATATTGAATTAAATCTGCATTCTACACATTAAATATGTTGACTGAACTGAATAAGTGTAATTGAATTGACTGAACTGAATAAGTGTAATTGAATGTGTAACATGAAACTATAATTTACAATATAATGATGCATTATAGGGGAAATATACAGGATAATTAAATCTATGTACATATATAACAGGTCAGTAAAATTACTTTATTGATATTGATATTATTAAATAGTGCATATATTTTATGTATACAAAACAATGGTTACTTTTCTAGACATTTGTGTAGCCCTAAAAAGGGCTGTTTTGGTTATTTTATTATGCAGTTGGTTTGCATAAAATTCTTCTGATCCTGTTGCCATACTTGATGATTCCTGTGTTTCTTCTATCTGATGTGGGTGTCTGTAAGTGGACCTGGTCTGGTAAAAAATCTTGTTGGTACTTGATGTCATCGAATGTGATGAAGTCAGTGCAAAATTTCTTCTTTAGGAGCTTGTTTACTTGTTTTCTTTGTCTGTCAAAGCTGTCTTTTGTTAACCCCGGAGATTTTGTGAAGTTCCCTCTTGTTAGTATTTCCCCAATAAAAACACGATGAACCCCTATGTTGTGGAAATGTGCAACTAGAGTGCACATTCTGTCAAAGATGTCCCTTGGTGTTGATGTAGTTGTTATGTCGTTACCGCCTATCTGTATAAATACTGTGTTGGGTTTGTGTCTGGCAACTGTGTTGAGTAGTTCAGGATCCATTCTATCTGTACGAAGTCCCCCCTTCCCACACAATACTGTGCATACTCCTGGAACGTGAAGATCTCCATCTGAAAACCTCCTTAGTCGTTCAATAAAACTGCTTCCAAACAAGACGGTTACTGCCATGATTGTTGTATCACAAAAATTTTTCCCTTCATTTATATGATTTGATAATTATTGACCCATACTATGATTAGCTTGGGATAAGTGTTCACTTTCTTTTTTTTAAACTTTTATAAACCAATTATTAAAATGATACATTTAGGTGTCATCAAACATCATGTATTCAGCTTCTAATGTGTCATTATCATGAGTGATTGTTTATTAACGGAAATCAATTCAGGAGTTTATTGATTACTAAATAATAACTGTTAAAGCCATGCATGCACTGTTGTTTGGACAGGTGAGACACTCCTCAGGTGAGCTGTCAGCCACTCTTGTTTATTCAAGTGATCACTAATAATTGCTAATAGGTGCGAATTTGTTGTCTGGCAGTACCTGTTGCTTTTATTTAGTGATTAAGTAATCAACACTGATTTTTTGAATACTTTTTAACATGAATGAAAACAATTCAGTAAAAATTATATCATATAAATATGGGCATTTCACTCAGTACAAATCATACCCATTGCAGAACCCTAACAGGTAACATATTGTTCATTTCTTTATATATATATATATATATAGTGCTTTTTTTTAACTGTGTACATAATTAAGGTAAAATATTGATTGTGTTATTTTCGTTTAGACTTTAGTGCTGTCAATTATGTCTGTCCTTGTAGCTGGTGATTCGCAGGCAAAATATTTTGATAGTTATCTTTCTGAAAATGATGGTGCTAAGGTGTTGTTTAGGAGTTATGGGAAAATAGGAAATATTTGGGGATTGATCAGGGATGTTGTGTGTCATCATGATGTGCTGGTTATTCATAGTGGTAAAGACAATCTGTCGGGTGGAGATAGTGTTTCGGATATTCTTAGGTCATTTCAAAGTCTTGTTGAGAAAATTTGGCATGTTCATCCTGATATGCACATAGTGATATCAGGAATTCTTCCAAGAGGGCAAAATTTACATGGGAATGTTTTGGTGAAGCATTCATATTTGGAGGGTATAAATGATAAGGCTAGGCAGATTAACAGGGCTTTGGCAACAATTTGTGGCAAATATAGGCCATTATCATTCATAGGTCATGGATATTTTTCGCAGGGAGGATTGTTGAAGAGGTCATTTTTAAGTAGAGATGGACTGCATCTTAGTGTAGATGGTAGTAGACAGGTTGTGAAAACGTAATGGACTGTGTTTGTTTTGTCAGGAAAAGATTTATTTGGCCTTGTTTAAATTCAATTTGGGATCAAGAGTGTGAAATAGTTACTAGTAGTTCAAAAGAGGAAAGTTCAAAACTAGTTAGTTCAAAACAGGTTATTTCAAAACAGGTTATTTCAAAACAGGTTACTTCAAAACAGGCTAGTTCAAAACAGGTTAGTTCAACTCAGGAAAGTTCAAAACAGGATTGTTCAAAACAGGATTGTTCAAATCAGGAAAGTTCAAAACAGGATTGTTCAGAACAGGATAGTAATGAGCCTATTGTTGATGTGAAGTCACACAGAAAGATTAGGATCAGATATGGTAGACAATTGCGAAAAATGAAAAATGAGGCTTTATCAAAAGAATTGGATAAGGAGGTGGAAAAAATAATGTCATCGGGATCAGTTAGCGTTGGTGGTGGTGTTACTTCTTGTCTGTCGAGTGAAAAAGAATTGTCTATGTCTAGAGTGTATGAATTATTGAAAAATAGTGATGTCTCTTCAATTTCAAATGTTCCGGCTTTCAAACCATCAGGTAGTGAAGTTTATTTGGTGAAAGGTTCTCATGTTGATGATTGGAAATGTGATCAGTATCAGTGGATATGTGGGGGTAGTACAAAAGTGAAAGCAAATGGTGTTGAGATTCAAAAAAAATATTATAAGGTCAGGGTACCAGGTTCAACAAATACAGGTAAACGGGATAGAGCTATTGGTTCATTAGAGTTTAGGAGATTGGCATACTGGTTGGTAGATGATCCTTCGTTAGTTGTATTTCATTATATAGGTGATGAATCTGTGTATATTCCAATTCCTCATGGTAACAGCAAGTCCAACAATGAATTTAGAAGAACTTGTCCTTCAGTGATTGAAACAGGTCCAAAACATTAAAGCTCAGGTTAACAGTTCAAAGAGACTTAGTAAGGATGACATATACAATTTATTGCTGTTATCTTATCAATTAGATGGTTTTATGAAAGAAATCACCATATATCCTGATTTGTTGGCTGTGGTAGGATTGAATGAAATGTTTGATGTGTTTAAGTCAGTTGTAGATTTAGAATCTGATCAACCTCTCTACTTGCAATATGATACAACATTTCAATTGGGAGACTTTTATGTATCTCCACTAGTTTTTCGTAACACAATTTTCAAAGAAAACCCAGTTATTCCATTGGCTTTTATGATTCATGAAAGAAAATATCAAAGATGCCATGAACAATTCTTTTCAATATTGATCAATAAAATTCCAAGTTTGAAAAAGATAAAAATTCCAATAATTACTGATAGAGAAAAGGCAATATCAAATGCCATATCACAATGTCTCCCCAACCTGGATATTATTCATTGCTGGAATCATTTAAAGAGAGATTCTAAATATTGGTTGACAAATAAGAAAGTGGAAACTCCTGAAATTGCAGTATATGTAAATGATTTGAAATCTTTATTGAATTGTAATAGTGAAGAAGATTTTCTCAGTGAATCAGATAATTTAACTTCTAAATGGAGTACAACAGTTTTAGATTATTTCAATAAAAACATTAGACAAGACATTCAGTTTTCAGGTAAATGGTTAATTGAAAAATATCCCAAATTGTTTGACCCATTTTCGGGTACAACAACAAATGCTTCTGAAAGTATAAACGCAGTATTGAAAAGAATGAGTAATTGGACAGAACAACCAGTAGATTCTCTTGTTTTAAGTGTGTATTATTTACAGAATTACTATGATGTAGAGAGGTTGAGAGGTATGGCAGGAATAGGGCAGTATAATTTAAAGGAAATGTTTTCACATGCAACAATCCCATTAGATGAGTTAGTTCTTCCGAAGAAAGTAGTAAAACCAGAAGATATTTTAGATTTAGTGAAAGGAGCAATTAATGATATCAGTGAACCACCCACAAAAAATACAGTGTCACCACAACATACAGTTCAAGATTCACCAAAATCACAAATTTCAGATTCTGAAGAGAAACAAGATACATGTAATTCAGTATTAACATTACAAGAACAAATATCACCAATCTCTAATCTTTCAGTACCTAAAACACCAGAAAACAAGCATACTTCACAGATTTCACTTGCTAAACATGTTGTAGAATCTAACGGGGTAACACATATCCCATCTAAAGAAACATTCTTAATTGACGGTAGGGACAACAAAAAATATGCAGTTACATTGTTTCCTAAAGAAAGTTGTCAATATCCCGCAACTACAACCTGTTATCATATTATTGCAGCTAAGTTATCAATTGGTTTAGATTGTTCTGTGAAAAAACGTACAATTAATCTGAAACAGTTATGTAAGAATTCACACAAAAAATCTGACAAAAAATCTGGAAGAAAAAGACCTCGTGATCTGGATGTAGAAGTAATACCAGCCCCTGATTCAAAAGTAATGAAATTAGATAATAGTGAAGACTCCATGGACACTGAAAGTATAAAATCTAAGAAAAAGTTGCAATTTGATGAACAACCACAAATTAAAACAAATTTTCGCATTTCGGTTTGGAGAAAGATCTTTTTTGTACAGCTTGAAGGACGACTTCATTTTGACAGCATTAACGGGAATATCTGTTCACATTATGTAATTTCGGCAGCCAGTAATAAACATTGTGTCATTGTTTCTGTGTGCTTATATTATCAGATGTTATAAACGAACCGGTTCAACGTAAACGGCTCTTATGTTAAAGAAGTGTGAATAACAACATGATTTAAACAGATTTTGAAGAAAATCAGAGGGTTTACATGTACCCAAGAATTCTGTTTTCTTTGCAGAATAAGAAATGATCGGGTAAGAATCCAACGATATGTTGAGATGGTGGTTCCAGGATATAGTGCTGTGGAATTCCGGCGTATTTCTCGCATGCCCACTGAAACATTTCAGATAATTTATGAGTACATGAAAGATTATGAGGCGTTGGTCAACACTGGTACTGGAGGCAGGGAACCGGTGCCTGTGGAGAAACAGCTTCTTGTGACCCTGTTTTACTTGGGCAATCAAGATACAATTCTCAAAATTGCTGACCGTTTTAACATTTCTGAATCGACGGTCATCAGTTCCAGGAACAGAGCTATCAACGCAATTTTAGTCCATTTAAAACCAAAGTTTATTAGTTGGCCTGATCAAAATGAAATTCAAATAATCGAAGATTATTTTGAGGAGAAATGGGTTCCCAGGTATTGTTGGATGCATAGATGGTACGCATATTGAAATTCAGGCCCCCAAAGAAAGCCCTAAATCCTATGTGAATCAAAAGGGGTTCCATTCTCTTCAACTCCAAGCAGTTTGTCGGGAGGACATGCGCTTTACACACTGTTCCACGGGTTTCCCTGGAAGCTGCCACGATTCTCGTGTCTTAAAAAATTCTGATGTCTGGGAAAATGGTAATTATTTGTGTGGAAATTATCACATTGTCGGTGATGGTGGGTATCCCTTGACGCCTTGGTTACTCACTCCATACAGGGACAATGGCAATCTTACTGCTGATCAAAGAAACTACAACCGTCGTCTGTCCAGTAACAGAGTTACCATTGAAAGAGCGTTTGGCCTCTTAAAAGGTCGATTTCGCCGAATGAAGTATCTAGCTACGACAGAAATAGAAACAGCACTGGAAATCATCATGGCATGCTGTGTGCTTCACAACATATGCATTCTGCAATCTGATCCTGTTGGGGAATTCCTGCAGCCTGATAACAACGTGGTGAACAATATGTTTGTTCATGTTCCTCAAATACCCAATGGAGGTGTTTTTAAAAGGAACCTTGTGGCAAGCAATCTGCCCAGATGAATACACTTTACAAAGAAAATCATGTTTTGTATTAATAACAAATAGGTAACTTAGAAAAAACATTTTAATACAAATTTGATTTGAAGAAAAAAATCAATAAACCATACAATATATATATGAATATTTCTTCAGTGTATCAAATTTATAAACAATGAAGTTGAACATAAAAGTCATTCAGTGTTTGAATTATTATGTCAATTTCTTTTAAAAATCTTGTACCTAAATGACATGATTACATGAATGGCATTGAATGCCCTTCTCCTTAGGATTTTGAAATTGAAATTGGACATATAGGACAACACTATACATGTATTCCCTTTTCTTTTCAAGGCGAGAGATAACAATAATATGACTGATGAGAACATTCTGTGTTCATATAACATAAAGGCAAAGAATAACAATAATAAAACTGATAAGAACATTTTGTGTTCATATAACATAAATACAAGGGATAACAATAATAAAACCGATGAGAACATTCTGTGTTCGTATAACAAAAATGACTAGAAAGAACTTGTGTACAACAAATGTTTAACATATTTGGTAAAATGCATATTTCTAACATCATTTTACAACGATCACTGAAAACTGGAGACAAATTTATAACAAGGGGTCTATGGACTTTAAAGGTTAAAAGAGTTTGGATACGTTTAAAATAATTTCACAATTTTGATCCCTACCTTATGAGCCCCTGACGGTAAGTCTGGATTAATATTATGCATACTTTAAGAAAGTGCCATGTCACACTCATAACTCTAATCAATTCTAATGGAAATCAAATGATGCTAAGACATTGTGATTTCCCTACACAATGTACATGTATAAATTATAGTAAAGTTTACACCCTATCCAGGGGAAAACTTCAGACCCCAAGGTCATGAAATACACAATATTTGTATAGTACATGTACCTTAAGACTCTTCTATCTATAAACAGCATCTGATTCTACCATATCTGATTCTTGAGAAAATGATATTTTTTAAATTTAAGCAAAATTTGGCTCTGCCCTTCAGGTTCCTAGGGGCTGAGGAACATGTGGTGAATCACAATACTGGTAGACCTTTGACCATTAAAGGTGTCTGCAAAATGTCATTTTATATGGTTCAGGGGTTCCAAGGAAGGAGTTGAAAATGTAAATTGTTCAGACGCACAACAGACCATGGACAAAAGCGATTATGATACTAAAAGTGTAGGTCGCTTGAGTTTCAGGTAACCTAAAATTTCAGCCATTTTTCTAGGCTGATTTCAATAATGAAAAAATGTGAATCAGTAATTTCAATATATTCAGTGAGGGCTATTCAAGAAAAATATCTACTCCGTTGTAGGACATCAGCTTATTTTAAAGGGTACCAACAATAAAAGCGAAATTGTGAATTAACATAGTATTACTAGTCAGTGAAATTGTGTTTCTTGAGTTTTGGGGTCAGGTATATGTTTTAATGGAATAGCAACTGATCTACTACGAGTATTTTGAGTTTGTTCAATCTCACTTGAAATGAAAATATTGTTCCCTGTTCTCAATGTCCACTTCAGCGGAAGCTATCCTCCAACCAGAGAATCAATATTATGAAACTTGTTAATTTATGATTTATAAACTTTAACACATTTGTCAATAGTTTTTCTACAAATTGCACACTTTTGCAGCCTACTTCCAAATGTGATGCATGCAAAGATGTGTCCACAGTTCAACATCACACTGTCTATTGGTTCATCCATACAGATGGTACATTCGCCAAAAGAACTTGTCAAATCCTCATCTATTCAAATAAAATTCATTTTCAATTTAAAGAACTATTAAGCAAAATATAAAGCAATTCAAATTAAACATGAAAAAGTGACATTCAATTTCATGAGATCTAAAATCTATTAATTCTTGCTCAGAGAATCCACAAGGGCCTTCAATATTTGCATTTTTTCAGTATGCTCTTCTTTTCTTTCTTTCATTTCCTTTTCATGTTGTGATTTTTGGGCTTCAACATAGTTTCCAAGAAACTGTAGTACTTCCTGACTTCCTGACATTCTTTTCTTTTTGTTATTTTCGGTTGTATTTTCACCATCATCTGGTGGTTGGTCAGATGGAGGAGGTCTCTACTACGAACCTGTGAATGTTCCTGTTGATAATGTCTTTGGGGTTATAGCTGGATCTTTTATATGTCATCCATCATGTCGTCATAGGGAAAAGTTTTCCTGCCAGATCCTGAAAACGAATTAATAGGAAAATAATTAAATGTTAAACATAATGACAGACACATTATTTGAAAAACAACAACTAGGGCACCAACAGTACATTAATATTAGTAATGGTATGTATGTATGTATTATTTCTTACATAGTGGACAATGTAAGATAGAGTTTTCCCATGAAAGAAAGCCATGTAAGATAAATCTATCTTACATGGCTGTGACGTGACAATGGCAAGACAATCAAATAACGTCATGCAGCGGCACAAATTGTGCCAAACTGATGAATTTCTTGATCTTATTTACTCGTTTGTTTTAGGAAAATAAGAATTAAATCTATTCAGTTGTAATTTCAAAGCTTATATTTTCAATATAAACCAAACTTTTTCGCACTCTTTCTCGTGATATTTGTATTTTTAAAATTGGATAAGAAATCAAGAAGTTGACGTTTTGTAGTATCATGGCGTCTCGCGATTTTAATCTGATTATTTCGAGAAGCTATGTAAGAAAATAACTCTTTCATGCCAACATTATGTAGGATAGAAATATTCCACCCTTGGGTACAGAATAATGGGTCAGAAACTTAGCAAGCCTCGGTTCTGACCCAAAATTCTGTACCCTCGGGTGGAATATTTCTATCCTACATATGTATGTATGAAAGAATCATATAGTATTTCAGACAAACAAAACTATCAATGGTCTGATAAGCTGTAAAGCGTCACCCATTAACAGTCAGGATGATTTTTAAGCTATCTCTCTATATAGCTGACAGCAACAAGTCAGAATAATTTGTTAAGATCATAATCATACCTGATTTCTTATTTTCATCTTTCGTGGCTTTGTAATTGCGAGTCAGCGTTTTCCACTTGCCGTTAACTTGTTCTGGAGTAAATGTGTAGCCGTCCTTCTCCAATTCCTCTGAAACATATTTCCAAAAGTCCTTTTTCTTCATTATTCCACGATCTAGCATATTTTTCTTGTTGGCATATTCAGGAATTAGAAAGAGGGTTGGGGATCTGGTCCACAGTTCTGTTGTGCCATCTGCTTCAATGGATGTACCAGGACTATCAGCAGAGGTGTTTTGACCACTTTGACTATGCTCTGTTTCTAAAATGAATAACAACAAAAAACTTAACATACCATAAAAAAGAGGCCCATGGTCACATTGCTGGTGGGGTACAGACATAATATGTTAGGAATAAACGTGCACATCACTGTCGGTAAAGGTGGCACATCGAAGTATATATTTGTTCCTCTACACTTAAATTCATAAAATATTTTATAACTTTTCAAATAAGTACACTGTATCGTCAATTGACTTGAAAATATATTTATACATTTTAGCAATCATGTAATTTGTAGGTACAGTAAATTCTCTCCTCAGGTTCAGTATACATATCAAAGGTAAACATCCAAAACTAACACCAGACCACATTCTAAGTTTTGTGCTTAGATTCGAGATTCAAATGTATAAATTTCCCTACCATACATATTCCAGCAAAACATGCCACTCAGAGCTTTCAAAATGTTAGGCGCTTCCCAATCAACCGTAACTTACGCAGGACCTGCATTTTTGTACAAAATTGTTGTAGTAGGGCATCATGCAGTATTATGTATATGTTGTACAATGTATGCATATTGCATATATACGCAAATTGCAAATGTTAGGTTAAAGCTACATTAATCACTTAGACATCGTTGTAAGCTGTGTGTTGCTTGTTGGATGTATCGATTTTTCACGACTTCTATGGACGTGATTTACTTTTCTGGATACATGTATTGTATCAGTATTAACTTAAACAGGTATGTGTATCACAAGCAGGTTGGCGGATTTCCCATGGCCAACTTTGTCCGTGTGGTAGAGCTTGCTTTCTACAATCAGTTTTGAGACATAAACAGAAAATTTACGTAAATTGTGCGTTAAGCTTAAGACAGAAATACTGACCTGAACCAGGTCCACCGCCACTGCATTCATGATCCCGCACATGAGTCATGCTTTCGAAGCATTTTGAACAGTCGCTGCACTGAAAAAGTACATGTGCATCGTTTGACGCCATCTTGAATTCTGCTGACACTACCGCCCCGAGAGGAATCGGCGGAACAATTCCGGAATTCAGTTCCGTCACATTCGATTGCTAATTCCACGATTCGGCACATTCAGAACTGCGAATCGAGTTCCCAATATATCAGATTGGACTCGTCTCTTCAGTGCAAAAAATCTTTAACACTTTGGTAACGTGAAAAGTTTATTGAGTGTTTAAGGGGGAGTGCCATTAAGTTTCTCTCAATGTTACCGATGGAAGAGCAAGAGGATTTTAATGTGCTCATTAAGCACATGGAGAAACGGTTCAATACAAAAGACCCTGCTGCTACCGCTCGGAAAAAGCTTTCAGACTTTAGACAAAAAGCTGAGAAAAATGAAGAATTTGCAGCAGAAGCTAGGCGATTAGCAGCGCTTGCTTATCCAAAGGTGGATTTGGACTTGAGAGAGGAACTTACAGCAGAAGCTTTTCTGGGGGGCCTCAAGGATTCTCGAGTTTCCTATCATGCCATGAATCAAAAACCGCAACTTCTGGAACTTCTCTTGGCCTTTGGTCTACTGCCGACGGGATCGGAGATCCTTGTGATTTATGTTATTGTAGCTATTTCTACACACGCGTGACTGTTATCACTAACTCAGTAGGCCTACCAGTTCGGGAAAGTGCACTGACAATTTTGGTGACATTGCCTGGATGAAGAGGAGCATTCTTTCTGTGATAGACATTGACTTTACTTTTATTTATTGGGATATACAATTCATGTTTTGGTATGTATTTTATA